ATCATGGAATTCTTACCGCAGTGTTGCACCGCACCTTGCTACTAGTTGCTTAGGGGAGCCGTTTAAGCTGTAGGCCACGGTTTTATAATATTTAAGTGTCATCTGCCTTTCAGTAGTGCAACATAGAGGTAACAGCAAAAACAAAAATCGTTCAGCTGAAAGATTTTAGAAAATCGGTTGCTGGTCGTTGTCCAGATCAGCTAGTTCGGGAAGCTGATTAGCAGTATAGTAAAAAGTAGCCCGAATTAGTTGAGGTACCTTCGAATGTCGACTCTTTTCACCGTTTTGAAAGCGGATGGTTGAGTTCCTCTTGTATTTGTTGAAACAGAATTGATTAACGACATGTCGTCAATACTTTAGCGGCATCCAGCCGACAAAAGCATGTTTGACGGTGGTGTACTGTTTTAGGTCGTTGCTTATAGCCGTAGTGCTTTGTACTACCGACAAGACGTCTTTCTCGGTAGTGGTTGAATATACTCATTATAGGTATTATCGAGGGTGCCGCACAGGGTAAAGGTCGTGGAAGGCAGGTGATTGCCGTAGCACGAACGTCTGATATGATTCTGATGATGCTCGACGCGCTGAAGGGCGATATCCAGAAGCACTTGTTGGAGAGGGAACTGGAGTCGGTTGGCATTCGGCTGAACAAAAGGCCCCCTCAAATTTACTACAAGCAGAAGAGCACCGGTGGCATCCACATCACTCATACGGTGCCGCTGACGCGCTGTGACGTGAAGATGGTTCAGATGGTGTTGCACGAGTACAAGATATTCAACGCGGAGGTTGTGTTTCGTGAGGACTGCACGGTCGAGGACTTGATCGACGTGATCATAGGTAATCGCGTGTACATGCCGTGCCTGTACGTGTACAATAAGATCGACCAGACGACGATCGAGGAGGTGGACAGGTTGGCTCGCCAGCAGCACTCAGCCGTGGTCAGCTGCAACATGAACTTGAACTTGGATTACCTGCTGGAGCGGTTGTGGGACGAGTTGGCACTGCTGCGCATTTTCACCAAGAAGCCCGGTCAGCCACCAGATCTGGCCATGGAAACAGCGATCATCCTGCGTAGCGGCGCGACCGTTGAACACGCATGCCACGCGATTCATCGCACTTTAGCCGCCCAGTTCAAATACGCTATCGTGTGGGGGACCAGCACGAAATTTTCTCCGCAACGCGTCGGTCTTCATCACATGCTTAATGACGAGGATGTGATTCAAGTTGTCAAGAAGTAATCAAGTTTGTGGAAAGTTTTCAACTTCCTCACGTTTCATGTTTTTTGAACAATGTTATACAACTGCACATGTAGTGCATTGAAATAAATTATGTCCACTGTGCTTTCAGTTCAATTGAACACTGAAGCCTGACGCTGAGTAAATTGTTTCATAAAGTTTTGCTCTCTTGTTCTTGGTCTGAACTATCAGATTCAAAATTCATTATTCCGTATTTGCTTTTAGCATGTAACACTTGTTTCCTGTTGTTTGAATGAGATTGGGGCACCTCCTCACAGCATGACTCCTTTGTACTTAAACACAGATTAACACTGTAGGCTGAGTTACTATTCGGAATGTGGCAGCAACTCGTCATTTAGGATTTTCAGTTTTGTATCAGTGGAGCTCTTTCGACCAGGCTGTTTTCCAGACGGCTTCAAATGTGTTTCAACATTTGAATTTAAACACGTTTCCAGTCTTTTCCGTTTCGGGTAGTTAGACGTCGTTGTGTTTCCCGCTAGTATGTTCTTTCATGATTAAAATTCTTCAAAAAGAAAGGCTTGGCTACTGGTATAGTTTGCCAGGCCTTTGTATCACATCGGTTGTTAAGCAAAATAGATGGTTCAAAATGTATTGGGGATAAATCCATGACAACAGTTAAAAACGTCTGTAAAACAGATGATTCTTTCGTTAACGACCAACCCGGAAATTGATTTTTTGCCTTCATGATTTTGCGCGAAGTAGCGAAAATGATCGATGAAACGTCATGGTACAGTATACTAAACAAAAGGTTTGTTCTAATTGCGATTAAATAGTGCTTGAGGACCGAAGTTTCGTTGGAACCAGAGCTTAGCGTAATTGAAGCGCAAAGCGCCTTCCCTGCGCTACAACAAAAATTTTCGTCGAATATGGTAGACACAGAATGATTCCAGCAATTGAAACCCAGGTACATGTAAAATATTTTCTGTACACTAAAAAATTTGTTGCGAATACAATTCACACTGGTGTTTTGTTTTATGCACATTTCTGCAAGTGCAACTTTATTTAGGTAGCAACGCCTAATCTCATAACCTCATTGAACTACATGGATGATTCTTCCTTCATAATGCAAACTCAACAAAATGTCAGCAATGTGTCATTTGGATTTTGCCACCTTGCATCGATGGACGTGTCTTTTCCCACCAGACTGCCATTTTCCAAAAGGTTATAATTACTATATATCGACATTTCAAGCAATCCAATTTCTTATCAGTTTTTCCATAGTTGAATATCGTTTTTAATCTATCTTTGACGTCCACTGAATGCTATTCTACCCAACCCGGTCATTCGACTTGAATATCCGGTTACAAAACTCACCAAGAGTTTTAGTGCATGGGCAAATGCAAATTAACACATGTGAACATGATCCTATGCAAATTAACAGATTATCCTTCTGATACAGTGTGTTCAAACTAATATTTACTGATTACCATTGCAACCTATGGGTAACATCGTATGTTCGACACAATGGTAACGGTGAGCAAAACATGATGCTATATGTTTGTGTGGAACGCATCTCGATTGCGTGATTGCGTATTAATATACAACTAAATTTCCATACCCTGACGAAATTTCCATACTCTACATTTCGCTTGCCTTTCGTTATCTCATCGTTCGTCGGCCTCCACTGCGAGGTCGTCTCTCAGTGCAAAAGTGGTGGAGACAAGTTGGCGGCGATAATTGACATCTTTTCTGTGTCATATTCGGTTTAGCGTCTTCCTGACGAGGACTCAAATTTAATATGCCTGAAACGTGCCGTTCTCGAAGAGATGCAATTCGATTGCAGCTACGGAGCAAGGGTAAGGAATCGTATTTGGAACGTGATGTTTATAATATTTGGTGAAAGGTAGCCTACAAAAGAAGTTATAACCATACTAATAGCGTGGATTCTTGTTCATGCTATGAAACTGCAACATTGCATTTCCCTGTGGCTTTGTCCTTGAGGCCGGTTTTGTCCTCCGACGGCACATGGTTCGAATACTCTCAAGAGACAACCATTGACTTAACCCAGAATTCCCTTAAGCGAAGAATTAACAGAGTATTGATTAAACGCTACTAATGGAGAAACTTGAATGAAGTAGTTTCGATTTGCATGGTATCCAGCTCTGATCACGTTAGAGTGGAAGAGAGGTTCGGATATGCTACCCTATACGTCGGTTCCTTTTAGCTGCACTTCGTTTTCATCCATTCACATGATAGTTAACTACTCAAGTTAATAATCGATACAGGGTGTAATCCCCATTTCACACTTCACATCGAAGAGTTTTTGGTCGCGTTTTGTTATTGTGGGATATGATAAGTGGATCTTCATGTTTCGCACACGCTGAGAAGGTCTACTTTGATTGTCTTCACCTCAGTGAGTTAGTTGTCGACGAGCGGGTGTCACGGATTTATTGCTGGTCACGAAGATCCTGATGATACAGTATTGCCGTTTGTTGTGCGCTAAATGACCATCACCGTTTGTAAGTAATCCCAGTTTTATGCAAGCTCACTAGTGGCCTCGGTACTCTCCCGTGTGTAATGTATTTTTGACGTGTTTTGTAGAATGTTTCATTCACGGGGAACCTTCGAGTCCTTATAGCCGTTTCCTCTCTGTAAACTAGCTGATCGAGATCCAGAACGGAGCCGCTTTGTGTGCTATTGTTAGTGGCTCGATTCACTGACCAGCTCCGGGCATCAACATCTCATCCTATTAGATACCGAATAAAACCCAAATGCAATAAAATAAACTATAGCGCTGTATCGCGTCCCAGGAAAAACATCACTATTGAGATAAGCTCCGCATGAACAACAAAGAGAGGCACCCAAATGAATCGTTCGAAACGTCTGTTAGATGCGGAGTATCCCTATCCTTCAGCTTTAAAACGTTTGACGGCTCCGTGAGAAGTTTGATCCGTTAAATAATTAAAAACACACACTATGAAAACAATGCCACATGTTCATCATGAGGTCTCAGACATTCAGAAAATGAAAAAATTTTATTTCTTGCTAAAATTAGAGCTTAGTATATGTATATACATATGAGTATGTTGCAAATAAGTGCGAGGCTGGTGTTGAGGATCTCTAAAACCATCTGAAATTCTGATGAATGTTTTTCACTTTTAACCTTGACTTTTCCTCATTTTAAATACACATGTCTACCTACGTTTTGCCTAGTTCCTGCCTAGGGAGCCCCAGGGTATCCGACGCTCAAAGTATGAGACAGTTTGGAAAAATGCTTTTTCCATTTTTGTCCCTATTATAACGATTTGAGAGCAACGGGCAGGAGAACGAGAAATCACCAGGCTTTTCTCTTTAGATGCGTTCACACGCATGCCGGTCACGTCACACTGGGCTGCGAACCTTCCTAAGGAGCACTGGAGATCAGTTTCGGAAGATGCTAATAAAACAAGGTCGTCTGCAAACAGCAACCTTCTTGACCTAACCTCTCCAATACCAATACCCTCATCGCCTTGGCAGCTCCTGACTATTCTATCCATCTACAACACAAACAGGATAGC